TTTGTTGATTCTTAAAAAAAACCTCTTAAATAAAAATACATTTAGAAAAATAGGTACATCCTACAATAGGTCATCATATCATATTGGCCAATTAATCTTGTCTAAGAAAGACAGATGCATGTTTTTTTTCTATTTGTGGTCCTAGATTTTATGAAGATGCATAAAATCACATATGTGTGTCTGATGAGAAAGTAGAAGGGAGATTGTCTAAGAGACAAAGGTGATGAATGGGGGCAAGAGGTAGTGAGGGCTAGGAAGGGGGAGACTAGGGAGTATAGAGGGGAATTTGCTCAAACAAAGGTGATGAATGGGGGCAAGAGGTAGTGAGGGCTAGGAAGGGGGAGAGTAGGGAGTATAGAGGGGAATTTGCTCAAATGCAATATGCACGTGTATGAAAATGTTCTCATGCAATGTAATTTAATGTACAATGAATAAAAGCAATGAATGTTTAAGAGTCTGTACATCACCAGGCACTAAACAAGATTATGTAACCAGCAATTAGAACAAGAAATGCAACATTATTAATACTATATAACTACTCATATTCTATTGTAGGCCTAACCCATCTCTCTACTAAGAGCAATGCATGATGAAGTTCCAATGGAATAGATTACATTGTAGTGTGCACTCTTGTACCTGGATGCTTTTAATCAACTTAATGCTGATGAATCATCATTGGTTTATAAAATATAAATATAATTATTTGTTGGTTTTACATTTCATAGAATTTGAGTATTTCTATTTTTCTTCCTTTTTTGGCTATGAAAATGCTATGCCATGTGTTTGGTGGAAATATCTGCAGTCTAGGGTAAAGTGAGAAATGGAGTCATAGGATATGTCTGAGATCATTTTGAGGAGAAAGTGCTGAATACATTTCCCAAGGCTGAGTCATTTTTAATGACAGTTGACTCTTTTCTTTGCATAAAAAATAAAGGAGAGACATGGCTGAACCACATTGAAGCTAGATTGTAGCAGAGGGTTGAATGTGAATGATACATCTTTCATTTCCAACATTGTGTGATTTTCAAAACTTTTCTTAGTAAAAGCTTTCATTCTTTTCCTTCTCTTATTTAACTGAGGGATGTATACAAATTGTTTGTTTTGTCCTGTTTTGGTTTGTTTATTTTTATCTTATCAATATATTTTAGCAGCTAGTTTATTTTTCCAAGAAGAAAGAGAAAGAAAGGGTGTGGATTTGAATGTACGGGGATGTGGGGAGGATCTTGGAGGAATCGATGATGAAGAAACCATAATCAGAATATATTGTCTAAAAATCCATTTTCAATAAAATAAAAATATATTTCTATGATTCTCCAACTTTTCTCATTGTCTGTTTTAATGTGTCCCTTTTCATCTCCAATTTTGATAATTTAGATCTTCTTTCTCCTTCTATGCCCATATCTAAAAGTTATGTCTTTTCATGGTGTCCCAGAATTCTCTCATGTTCTGTTAAAAATATTATTCTTGACTTTTACTGGGTGACCCCATGTCTTAACTTTGTCTTCCAGCCCTGGTACTCTGTTTCCTCTATGATTCCTCTGTTGATGAGGATTTTTTTACTGAGGTTTTGTTTGTTTATTTTTTTTGTTTCTTATTAAATTTTTTGTCTGTTTCTAATAAGATTTCAAAAAGGGTCTTCAGCAATTATCTTTGATGAATTATATTCTCGTGTCTCGGATTGACTTCCTTATTTCATGTATCTCTTTGCTTTTGTTCTCTTGGAGTATATTAATGTTTCCTTGTGTTCTTTGAATATACTTACTTTCAATCGTTTGAATTCTCAGTTCGGTTGTTCTTCTAGGTCATTTTCATTGGGTGTCATTGGTATGGGGTTAACGATTTGTGAAGGAGACATGCGGTCTTGACTTTCCATGTTTCCATTTGATGTTGTTTTGTGTTTCTGTAATGGCAGTTGTGCATCTGGTGTTAGTTTGTTTGGTTGACTTTTTCCTTCTTTCTTCGGTATGTTTTAATTTTTAGATTCAAGTCTGCTTTTTCTTTTAGTGGCAGTGCTCGGAATGTTCAGTGTAGGACTAATCTGTAGCAGCGTTCACTTCTCTCTATGGGATTGACATTGACATGCATTGTGTGCATGACATTAACAAACAGATTATGGCCAGAGGCTCCATTTCAGGTTTTCCTCTGATAGTCAAATATTGTCTTGTGCCACTTGAGCCTCCTTGTTGAGTCTACAACTTTCTCTGTGCGATGTGGAACTTGCTACATGACTATGGGCTTTACCCGGAGCCAGACCCAATCTTTACCCTGAGTCTGCAGCTTCTGATGATGCTACTGCTAGATGTCGATTATGATCAACACCAGAAAGCTCTTTGGTGTTTGTAGGATCAATATTAAAGTAAAATATTATAGAATATTATTATATACTCCACAGCCCTTTATAACTATAATGACACTATTGGTAGTGTTTTTTATTTGACATGGAAGACAATTTTATTACACATAGAAGTTCTGGCATGCATGTTTACGGCTTTGTTTGCTCACCAGTGTGTACACCAGCTGTAATTTATTTTGTTTAACTTTCTGAGTTTGTAATACCACATGTACATCAGCATGGCTTCTTTGGGAAAGTAAATCACACAGATTCTAGGGATGTATTACAAATAAGATACTCTCTGTCTCTCCTGTGTGATATGAACACACACATGAATGCTAAAGTGTGAAGTTGTTCAACTTCATTTTCACAAAAGCTCACAGCACTTGGGGTGCTCCACTGCCCCTGGCTTTGGATACTGTGCATATGGCAGTGAGAAGACAACTGAAGTATTTTCCAGAGAAATGATATTGGGGGTGACCTCAAGGAAAGTGATTTTGTTCAGAAATGTGAGCAGAAAGAAAATTTCACTACCCAGGTATGCTCATGTGGGAGAATTCTTGAAAGTCAGAGTCATCTTTGCAGAATGTCATGAAATTTAACCTACAGCAGCCAAGAAAGTAAACTTGTGCTATAAATAATGACCTTATAGAATGTCCAAATGAGGTAAGCAGTGCACACAACAGACCATTAGGGAAAATACCCGGAGCAACACATCCAACTGAGAAAACAGCATCCTTTAATCTTAAACTATCTTGAAAAATGTAAAAGAACTATGTGGAATTCTTGGAGATCTCCTGGAAATTTTTTTCCTGGAAAATATTTTCTTTTTGGGGGGGAATTAACTTTGAGAACCCATTGCCTACCGTTTGTCATGCTGCTGAATACATAAATGGAAGTAAATTAATAAATACTAGAAAATAGAGGTGTTAAAAAGGAGTTGTCAAATGATAGCTTGTGAACAACAAGGGCAGATAACTCTCCTCTATGAACATTCCTTTTTTCATAAACCAAAGCTCAATCTGTTCTCTGGTTTGGAACCAGTGATAGATACTGAATGTTTGGCCGTTTTTTCTCTTTAAGAAACAATAGCATGTTCACAGGGAAGAAGAGATGGGTGCCCTTTTAGAAACCATTTGCTATAAAGCTCATGCTTGCCTGCCAATGTTCAAAATTATGGAAACATGTGCATGAGACTTTTGAACAAAGCCAACCTCTGGTCTCAAGACAAAATGTTCTGAGAAAGTGCACAGTCCATAGTCCTGCATGACATTAACAAACAAGTGCTTAATTCTGCCCATGGACCTCTACCCCAGCATGGCAACCAGGAATACACAACAGAGCTGCAAAATCCCAGGTGGTTTATGGTTAATGACACAGGAGCATTAGCAACACTGAGTAACGAGGTATGCAAAGAATGATACAACTTTACTTCTGTTAAGCCACTGCAAGGATAAATGATTTGCTTAGATAAATCATTCTGCACAGACCTTAAAGATGGCTGTGAACAAAATGAAGAACAACAACAACAACAAATTCCACCAGAAATCTATTGGCACAATTTTAGCCAGCTTGCTTGTGCCAAAAAGCAGCTTAAGAGAAGCATGAAATAAATTGTCTTGTAGTATCTTTGAGTTAGAATAATGAACCCATAAAACCAGTTCTTGGTACACTCTGTTTCAAGCAAAGACTTAACATTTCAGATTGCATGTCTTTTAATACATATAAAATATTATTGTTTTTGATGTATTTTGTCAGCTAGCATCTACTTATGTATGTAAGGAAAGCAACAACATGTTTTAATGAGCTAGACGTTTGAGACTTCTTAGTTTCCCCTAAGTTTAATTTTATTGTTTAAGGTAAACCTTTGGTTTGTGTCCTCTAAATGTATCCAAGCTGTGCTTTGAAAAGTACTAAGAAAGCAGACTTAAATACAGTCGCTGAGATGTATCTTCCTCAGTGAAGGGTTACATGTTTGTAAGCTAAGTAGATGAGAAACTGAGGTAGGAGTATTAAGAGTTCAGGACTAGCCTGGATTGCTTGGTGAATTTGAGAATAACTTAGCCTGTGTAACTAGACTCCAAAAATAAAACATAATAACAAGAAAAAGAAAGAAAGGAAGAAAGGGAGGAAGGGAGGAAGGAGGGAAGGGAGGAAGGAAGAGTGAACAAATGTCTTCTGACTTTAGGCTTCTAGGAGCTTTTGTCTCAAACTTCCTTACCAAGTTTTGCATAAACTGTTTTTTGAGTCAAGTTAGATCCTAGAAATCAAAAGAAGAATGTGTGATAGAAGAGATATTGTTTGAAATGTGAGCTCATCTTTTGAATTGCTGAATATATTAAAGCTAATTTTTACTTACCTTAAAAAGCAGCAGGTTGTAACTTGTGAAGGACACTCTCATACAAGGCATTAGAGACTAAAAGTCAAATTCGAGAGCTGGAGAGATGCTCAGGTGTTAAGAGTGGGTGCTGCCCTTTCAGAGGACTGAGATCAGTTTCCAGTGCTCACACTGGGTGACTCACAACTGCCTATACTCTAGCTCCAGGGGATCTGGAAATCTTTTTCTGAAAGCAGCTGCATGCATGCATATATACAAGCATATGTACACACACACACACAAATAAAATAAATCTTTAGAATCCAAACTATAGGTAGCAATAGTTATTACCTGATGTCAGATCACTTCATTGTCAGGTTTGCTGTGCCACTTTGACATATTCAAGCAGAATCTGAAAATTCACAGAGTGCAAGTGAGACTGTGGCAGTTATTTTCAAAATTAATTAAAAACTGTACATGCAAAGAGACACCAAGACCATGGCAACACTTTTTTCCTTCATATTTTTTTTATTTAACTTTTTACACATGCCACTCTCAGTTCCCTCTCCCTTCCCTCTTCCCCCACCCCCCCCCAATCATCCCAACCCCTCACCCCTACTCCATCCCCCCCTCCACTCCCCAGGGAGGGCAAGGGCTTCCATGAATGATTTCCAGAGTCTGTCACATCATCCCGGGAAGGGTTACCATGGCAACACTTATAAAAGAAGCATTTAATTGCAGCCTTGCCTACAGTCTCAGAAGTTTAGTCCATAATGATGGCAGGAAGCATGGTAGCACCAAGGCAGACATGGTGCTGGAGAAGTAGCCAAGACTTCTACATCTGGATCTGTAGGCAGCAGGAAGAGAGAGACCCTTACCTTGTCTTGGGCTTTTGAAACCTCAACACCAAGTCCCAGTGACACTTCCTACAAGAAGGCCACACCTACTCCATCAAGACCAAACTTCCTAATCTTTTCAAGTAGTGCCATCCCTGGTGACCAAGTATTCAGTTATATGGGGACCATTCTTATTCAAATCCCCACATTGGGGAATTGTATCAGAAATGAAACTTTGTTTCCATGTTAGACATGATACCTGGGATGTCCTATGTGCTATTATGGCCTCTATCACTAAGCTACACTCCTAGGCTGGAACATTAACTTTTGCTACAAAAGGTTTTCATGAAAAAGATTTGAAAGAAATGAATTTTTGGTATTTGTAAAACAGAGATGTGACAGGGTTAAAAGATTCATACCATATCTTTACATTGATATATGCATCATATGTGAACATCTCTATTTTTTTGTGTTTAAATTTGTATGTATAGATTTCATATGTAAAATAATATAGCATTATAAATATAACTCTTTGTTTATGCCTGAACACACACATGTACTTATATCTGTTACATATATTCTCTATGTATACAAATCTACATATATGATAAATATAAAATCATGTCAGTAAAATGCCAAGAACAGAGTTGTTTCAGATTTTGGAGTTCCTGTTTTGGAATATTTGCAAATATAACAAGATAGTTTACATAAAAGAGAAGTCTAAACATGAAACTTCTTTATGTTTTATACATCTTCCACTCATAGCTTGAAGAAAATTTTGCACAGCATCTTGAATAGTTCTGAGCAGGAGACAGTTTGGTGGTGTCGGGTTCCTCGCTCAGGGCATTATATTACTGTTCTGAGTCTGGAGTTTCTGATAAAGACTACATACCATATGCTGAAAGCAAAATGTGAAAAGTGACAAAATCCCTTAGGAAGATTTTTTTGAGGAAGCAGTGGGCTCTTTAATGATATATATCATTAAGTGTATTAATGATAAGTAAATTAATGCTGTATATCATTACACATATATAGTAATTTTGAAAACATGTACCTAGGGTAAGCTTTGCAAGATGTTTTCCCACCATGAAATAAAGGCAAGAGGTGTCTTAGAGGAAGAGCCTTGGTAGAATCTTAAACTGACATTAAACTTTAACTTTAGAATAATTTTAAGGAAGAATACATCAAAGCATGTGAAACTGGTGGTCAATTATATTATCATTAGTATAAGGCAACACAGTGTTATCATTCTTCATAAAATGCCATGAAATAAGTATGTTAAGGATATTTAATTATGCACATGAGTGCGATAATAAAGGAAAATTGTGAGTTAATTGCTTTCCTTAGAGATGCTATTAGAGATGGCAGTTGGCAGACGCCTAGCATTCTCATGATTCATCCTAAAGAAATACGCTGTTGGGCTGGGAGCATTGGAGATATTCTGGGAAAACCAGGAAGGAAAAGTAGGCTTTCCTGGCACAGATTTCACAGAGCACTTTATTTTCAGCCACGTGCCACTGCTTCTGAGAAGCCATCTCCTACTTAGCCCTGCGTTATGACTTTGATGAGACCAAAACACTTTGTAGACATCTTTGATATGTTTCTTTTCACATGGGATTTTAATTATGACTCCATGTGGTGTGTTGATCTCTGCTCCCATACTAGGAGGCTCTTTGGAGGCATAGCTACTTTATTCTTCCTTCTCTCTAACTGGGGGGTTGGCCCACAAGAGGCTCCTAGGTCCGGTTTTGGAGTGAGTTTGAAGTCTGTTCTCAGGCCCAGAGAGACTGAAGCTCAGAAACACTGGTGTGAGGCAGAGAATCTCTGATTTCTCCCTTATAGTAGCATCTGAGACACCATCACTGTATTTAGATTTGTCTAAACAGCTTCAATCTGTTGACAAATCCCACTTCACTCTCATTTTCTCTAAGGAGAAATTTCCATTTCCTCTTCTTCACTTTCCATCTCACTGGAAAAATATGAACAAGTAGGGTGTAGCTACTGAGGACCCAGAAACACCCTTGCTCCAATATTTCACAGGAAAAAGATGAGTTGTCAGAGGATGGATGATTTACATCGTCACGGATACTCTGCAAACATGTCTTTGAATGAATTCTGCAATTTGCTTGAACATGTTACAGATTTGAGTGGGTGTGACAAGGAGAGGGAAAGCGTGAAGACTTCTACAAACATGGTTGAGCAGTGATATCCATTCTAAATATAACTTCTAGGACTCACATAATATATACAATAGCTTACTCAACATATACATTAACTTACTCACAAATTCCTGTATATTGTGGTTTGGGGCACCTATCTGCTCTGAAGGCAGTTGTCTAGGTGTTGCAATCTGGGGAAAACTTAAATTGAGATCAATGAGGAAAAATTATCTTCTCTCTCTCTGTCTATCTGTCTCTGTCTCTCTCTCTCTCTCTCCACACACACACACACACACACACACACACACACACACACACACACACACTAGAATTTAAAAAATGAACTTTACTAGAGAACACACACTTTTAATCACAATGAAAGAAAAGCATTGGAAATTTATTTAAAAATTAAAAGATAGAACACAAATAGAAAGGAAATAAAAGTTAATTCTAGACTTGCTGTTAAAAATCAGTTCCAAACATTCATGTAGTTAAAAATGAAATACCTGCTTAGAAAAAAATCTGTCAGTTTTGAGAAGAGTGATGGAAAGATGTGAAAATTAGAAAACGGAGAAGGAAATTCAATGTAGTGTTGGGTAGAACTCAGGGTTGTGTAGACTGGCACAGTCTCATTGGTAGTTATCATCCCTCTGGTAATAGAATGTTATATACACATAAGTGTACTAGGGTGTTTTGACTTCACAGACATAGTCCCTAATTATTATGAAACTCTTGTATTTACCTTGATCTGGCTTCCGGGCCTCATGGCTCATTAGCCATTAGCTCAAGGCTGTGTGTGTGTGTGTGTGTGTGTGTGTGTGTGTTAAAATAAATAGAATCTAGGGTCAAGACAGAAAGTTGTAGAATAAGAGAGACAGACGAACCAGGTATAGCGGCACATGCCTGTATTCCCAGCGTTTGGGAGGCTGAGACAGAATGAGCAGACAAGCATATAGAATATTTTATCAGCATGAGATTCCATTTGACTCAGGCTGTGCATACACCACTCTTCAAATAATACACTTGGCAGCCTGAAAACCTTGTCTGCACATACTATGCATGATCATCCTTTCTGAACAATATATTTGCATGCTGTCAGCAGCCTAGAACCCTCACCTGACTTGATATAAATGCACACCTCTTTTCTGAACAGTTGGAATAGGTTTCTCTTCTCCTAAACAACCATCAAAATTTGCTTACATTCAATTTTTCCCTAGTTATGTTCAGGTAGAGAGGTAGATTTGGTCTGAACTAGCTTTGAGTGCATGTTCAAAAAAGCAATCTGTGTCCCCAAAGTGAACTTTTAGGGAAGACAGTCTATTTACTCTCTTAAGCCTATGCATGACTGTGTGTACACATGATTAAAATTAGATGCATCATGGGAAATTACATGCCCAGTAGAAAAGAGGTTATATAACTTTATTTTGTCAATCAATAAGGAGATTACCCAAACCACTACAGCCCTAGTAATCAAACTCTGCTTTTTTAAAGAAAGAAAACCTAGGTAGTAAATGTGTTAGGCTGGTCCTCTCCCCACTGAGTAACCTCAAAAGCACTGTCATTGAGATTTTGTAATGCCTTTCTTCAGTTTCTCTAAATATATGAGAAGTTCACAATCTGGATTTAGAAACAAAAAACAAACACCATCTTAGAACAAATGGTAGTCTTGTAAAGCACACCAGAAGAACTCTGGTTTTGTGTCTCCAATGCCCATCTACAAAGCCTCCATACATTCAAGATGTTCCCAAGGAGAGCTAAACCCTTTCATCAGTAAAATGACAAATCTCTTATCTTATCTGACTTAATCCCATTGCATTCTTGTAGCATGAGTTTCTTTCTATTGTTTGCAGTATGATTTTTTGATCATCATTCTCATGTCACAAATAAAAGTTCTATGTCATATATACCATATGCACACACACACATCTATTTAGAAAAAATATGAAAACAAGATAACAAAAGGCTGGCATTTAGTGGTGCACTGAATGCTCAATTCTATACACTGGTTTGGAGAGCACAGGCTGTCCTGCTGAGACACCTTGTTTTCTGTACTCATGGAAACTGAGGTTCATAGAGCTAAAGAAGTTTCTGTAGTGTCACCTCTGTTAGGCTGACAATGAAGGCATGAGCTGCATGGCTTTGCTAGTGTCAGCTCTCTGCTACATGAAAGGTACCATTTGGTGTCATGCAGTGTGGAACTTCTGAGAATACAAGAAATGATGGACAGTCAATCAATCATGAACAGATAGTATCGATTTCTCCTCCACCATATAGCTTATTTTAGGTTCAATTTATGTTTTGCTTTATTTTCTATTAGTTGACTACCACCCACAAACCTGGAAAGCTTAAGTGACTGGTTGAATTGCTAAATTGATGCTCTGTGGTAGCTTTGAATCAGTTTGCAATATATGTCATTTTAATAGAGACCATTGCTCAACACAGAAATATGATCCCTTCTCAATATTTAAAAATATCCATTCTCTACAGTGTCCAAAAGATTATATAATTCTAGCAGGGAGTATAGGCATTGTATCTGAGTGCTTTGGCTAGCAACTTGGAGATGTGCTCTGGACTTTATTTTTAAGGCTCTTCAAAAATATTATTATTTATTTATGTGTTTGCCTGTGTATGAGAATGAAACAAACCTGTTGTTCACTTGGAGCTGGAGTTACAGGAAGCTGGGATCTGGGAATCCAACTTGGGTTCTCTGCTAGAACCATATATGCTTTTAGCCACTGAACCATCTCTCCAGCTTCTTACAACATTCATAGAATAGTTCTAATAAGACATGAAATGGAAGAAATATTTTGTATGTTGACTTTGTTGGATCAGACTGATGGGAAGTTAATAGAAGAAAACATTTGAGATACTTTGCTAAAATGGACTTTCCACTTCAGGTTTTTGTTTTGGGTTACTCTCTCTCTCTCTCTCTCTCTCTCTCTCTCTCTCTCTCTCTCTCTCTCTCTCTCTCTCTCTCTCCCTGTGTGTATGTGTGATTCTAAACCACTTCTGTAAACCTTTCATCATTGTGACAAAACACAAAGATAAATACTTTATGAGGAGAAAAGGATTATTTTGGCTTATAGTCTTTTGGTCCTGCTGCATTGTTTCTACAGCTCCATGATACCTCATAGATGAAGGATTTACTTCATGACCACCAGGAAAAAAAGGGAGAAAGATCAGAAGTGGGTTAAGTACCAGAATCTAGTCCAAGGGTGATGCTGTAACGATAAACGGCACACTTACTGAAAGTAAAACTAAGTATTTATTGTAGAAATTACTCACAAGATACCAAACAAGTAACCCAGATGAGCTCAGTAGTTTTCCGCTGCCGAACTGGAAGCTGAAAGCCGGAAAAAGAGACCAAGACTTTCGTTCTTCAGTCTTTTATGCCTTCCCCTGTAACGCCCCCTAGCAATGCCCAAAAGTGGGCCTGGCTAGTGACGTAGTTCACCGCCTACATAAGTATACGTCTTTACATCCGTCCGTATACGTCTTTAGTCATGCCTAAAGTGGGTGTGGTTAGCCGTGTGGTAAACCGCTCTTTTATTACCTCATCTGTATGCGCCTCAAGTAAGTCACATGGTTAATGGCGGCATACAGGCTTCCTCCTACAATTCCCCTTTTAGTCTAAAAAGGACAACTAACTTGTGTCAATGAACAAAATGTATCAAACATCTATTCTATCTAAACCTAAACTTATCTGAAAGAAACACCCAAATTTGAACACCTCCTTCTAATCCCAACTCTAAAATAATTGCAAACTAACACTAACAGGTGTAAACTATCCTATAATATCAATAGTAGGGAGAGGGGCGTGGAATTCTCAAAACTACTTCCTGCTGAGATGGGACGATGATAATCTCATGGGGACCTGTGAGAAGAAAAATGTTAGTGTAACAAAATCTTCAGTAGATCAGACAGCCTCTGTATGGTAGGAGATGCTTGACTGAAGTTCTTGACTGGGGTTCTAGTGTTGATTGAAGCTCTCGTCTGAAGCTCTAGCCAGATTGTAGAAGATGTGCTATTTCAGTTTCTTGTTCTGGAGTTGTGTAGAGTGATGTAGTTTCAAGCCAGTTTCAGGATAGTGCTTGTCAGGTGGAGTCAATGATGTGGGGCAGTTCAGATGCCTCCAGTCGAATCAGGTGAAGTCAAGGAAGTGGATCCTCATTCTCTTTCTGAAGCAGTTGAAGATTGCTGTCATGAAATCCCTTGTTCTCTGGAAAACTCAAACATTAACGTTAACAAAGAAATATTTTAACTTTTATATGTATGCATACCGGAAGAGGTGACAATAGGGAAGTGCCTTTCAGGTAGGTCCTCAATCCTTTCTAAAATCCCGTCCATACAAAAAACAAGAAAATTCTTAACATCCTGCATCATAATATGTTGGGGAAGTCCTGTGTATATGTCAATAAATTACTGTTGGCCAATAGGAATTTAGATAGGTGGGGCTAGGAGTCCAGGAGGATGCTGGGAAGGAGAAACACAAGAGAGTCAACATGTAACGCCATGGGGGTAGGAAGCCTGGAACTATTCTCCGGTAAGAAACATACTTAGATTAACAATTATGGGGTAATTACTTAAGTCAGAGCTAGCTAGTAAGAGACAAGCAAGGCCAAGCAGCTTCATAATTAATATAGCCTCCTGTGTGTTTATTTGGGACTGATGCGGCTCTAGAACCAGGCTGGGCGGGAAGGCATCCTCTCAAAGAAAAAAGCTTCTCTTAACAGAATGGTGATCAGGAGTGGGATTATGAATTTCCACACAAAATAACAAAAGCTTTAAAGGAATTTTAGAAACAGGAGAATGGAGAGAAGCACAGATTTTTGGTAGCAGCATTTTTCTCAGGTGTGCTCTGTTTTGCTAGCCACAAGCCGAGATTCACGCGGCTCGTTTACTGGAGTCTTCCTGACTCGGCATAAAAAGAAAAAGAAAAAAAAAAAAAACAAGGTTCTTTTAAGAGACTCTGCTAACGATTGAAAGGTGTGTACGTACAGCTGGAAGTGGCAGCTTTTGCTGGAGGTCAGCATGGACTGAGGCGGTAAGCTGGAGTCATCTTGACGAAAAACCGGCAGTTTAAAACAGCCGCGGTTTTACAGATAAGACACGTGGCCAGAAAAACATAAAGATTTACAGTAAAGTCAGACTTGGATGAAGAAAATCTCTAAAGGTTTACAGTGTGTTTAAAAATATACGTGAGACTGAGAGAGAAAATGAAACGGCAAAATGGTATATAAATCCAAAAGCCGGTGTTGTGGTGGCGCACCCCCGGTAGGATTTACTCCAGAGGCAGAGGCAGGCAGATTTCCAAAGAGAAACCCTGTCCCAGAGAAAAATAAATAAAAGTAAAATGAATAAAGTAATAATAGATAAATAATAAGCCACGTAAAGATGGAAAATACACAGAGAGTCTGGATACTGTATGCTATTGTGTTTTTCAGTTTTTTGATTGCTAAGGAAGGAACAGCTGCTAAAGTACACTTGATTATAAATGCTGCTGAATTAATCCAACTTCTATCTTTTAAAAATGCCTTGACTTCAAAATTTAAGTATAAGAATATGTTACTTGGAAAAGGAGTTTTTATTTATGTTTCTACAGAAAATGAAAAGCTGAGGATTCCTTCCAGGCTTCTGTGGTTCGACGAACCAAGACCCCCGGAAGCAGTGGATCAGATGTTCCAACAATTGAAACAGCTAAGATGATGCAGCTTTACAGACCCCGAAAATATGGACTTATACAGGTTTCTGAGTTTTGTCATGATCCCCATGGTATGAACGGCACCCCCTTCCAGCATGAAGCAGTTTGGAATGAGCGACGTCCTAATTCCCATCTTGTTTATAAATCTTTGTTTTCATTTAAATGGGGTTGTTTATAATTGGCTAATGATCACAGCCAATATTTTTTAATGGTAAAAAAGGGAATTATGGTATGGGTATTGTTTTTCATTTATTGATACAAATTCAAGGTCAATTTTGTGATGCTTACATTTCTCCTCTTGATTAAGTATTGTGCTTATACTGATCTTTTAAAATGTAATGCATAATTGAATACAGATTATAGATAGTTACTTATAATAGTCTGAACTTATAGTTAGGTAAGTTAGGTTTTCTAGATATACAGAAATATATTTGACATAGACAGTCTTCAAACCTTTCAAAGACCTTCAGAAAATGGCATTTAAAATGGTTTAGGGTTTTTCTTGACAATGAGAAATGTCTGCTCCTGGCAGCACTAATTACGTCTGAGAGGAAGATGGGCATCAAAGAAACTCGTTATGGAGTTTGCTTTCAGCATGGCAAGATTAGCCATTTGGGCAAGAAACTGCTCTTGCCTAGACTGTTTGACTGTTGCTGTATAAACTGAACATGCAGGACCCACAGGAAAGTGACTGCTGAACTCAGTCTTACAGGTTCCTGCTTTATGAAAGAGTCTACAAGACTTTCTGCAGGACACAGAAAAATGACTGACAGACTGCTGATGCAGATGGACAGTTTGAATTTCCTGCTTTGCTGAGAAGTATTCCAGATACATTGTGGCCTATGGGCTGAAGATGGATGCCCTAACGTTACAGAGGAACTTCGGGTGACTGTCCAGGCAGTAAGATATCTCTGTCAATCCTAGTGTTTATATATTATCCTTCTGTGGTCTTTGATGGAGTTGAAGATAGATAGTTATAATTATAGTTTTCCTTAGTTATGACAAAAGATAAGGTACATATAGGACTTTGTACTCACAAGGATGGGATGGATGATATTTTCTTTAGATCTTGCTAAATGTTAATAGACAAAATGTTGTAACTGTGTTCTTACTTGATAACTGTTCTGTCATATACAATTTGACTATGTTAAAGTTAAGACCTTTCTTTTTGTTTAAACAGAAAAGAGGAGATGTTGGGGAAGTCCTGTGTATATGTCAATAAATTACTGCTGGCCAATAGGAATCTAGATAGGTGGGGCTAGGAGTCCAGGAGGATGCTGGGAAGGAGAAACACAAGAGAGTCAACATGTAACGCCATGGGGGTAGGAAGCCTGGAACTATTCTCCGGTAAGAAACATACTTAGATTAACAATTATGGGGTAATTACTTAAGTCAGAGCTAGCTAGTAAGAGACAAGCAAGGCCAAGCAGCTTCATAATTAATATAGCCTCCTGTGTGTTTATTTGGGACTGATGCGGCTCTAGAACCAGGCTGGGCGGGAAGGCATCCTCTCAAAGAAAAAAGCTTCTCTTAACAATAATGTTAGCTGACATTGTATAAAGCAGTTAAGTTTGTTACCAGTGGAGTTTTATTCAGGCCGAAGTCAACAGGCCTCCAGTAAAAGAGCACGTGGCCGCGAGAGAAATCTCAGAATACCACCTAACCTTACCGGCAGGTAGAAGGTGCTGGTTCCTGGTGGCAGGAATCGTGCCTTGCCGAGTGAGCGAAGTGCTGGGGAACTTAGCAAAATGAGAGTCCACGTGTACCCCACTCCTGGTACCATTATGTAAAGGGGAAGCCTTTTCCTTGAGAGAAGCCTTCCCCCCCAAAGCCGCATCAGTCCCAAATAAACACACAGGAGGCTATATTAATTATGAAGCTGTTGGCCTTGCTTGTTTCTTACTGGCTAGCTCTGACTTAAGTATCTATCCCGTAATTGCTAATCTAAATATTTCTCTTACCGGAGAGGTTTCCGGGCTTCCTTCTCCATGGCGTTACATCTTGACTCTCTGTGTTTCTCCTACCCAGAGTCCTCCTCGACTCCTAGTCCCACCTATCTTAGTTCCCTATTGGCCAACAGTGCTTTATTGACATATACACAGGACTTCCCCCATCACAAGGGTGTATCTTGATGAACTAAGTTCCTCCCATTAGTCTTCATGTCTTAAATATTCTTTTATGTCCCAACATTGTATCATGTAGGATAAACTGGCTTTTTTTTCTTTTTTCCCTTTGCTGAGGACAATGGAAAGTGGCACTCATTTCTTATTATTTTCATTAGATATTGTGTTTCTCCAAAAATCAGAAGACCTGATAACTTATAATAAATTCATAGGGGCAAGCAAATTCTGGAATCTAAATTAATCTTTTCTTGTTCCCTTTGAAACTGTAGTTTTCAAGTTGCAAAATTGAGTTATATTTTGACTTTAAAAATAGCCATACACACTTGGAAACTCTGTTATGTGCCTTTTATACATGCCAGCTCAACCTACTTCAGGACATGTGGAGGATTTATGAGACTGTCCCCAATAGGCTCAGATATTTGAATACTTGTCCAGTTGGTGGCAATGTTTGGGTAGGTTTAGGAGGTGTGGCCTTGTTGGAGTATGTGTGTCATTGGGGGTTGG